ACTATGTGTTTATTTAATAAAAGTTAATCTATATACTGTTATTATCTCGAACCGTTTGCCTACTGCTGTGTAGTAAAATGAACTACTACACCTCCACCCCGTATATATTTGGAATAGTCAATCACTGTATCAGGTGATCTTGTTACTTGGTTGTATTCTACCAAGAAGGCTGCAACCCTGTAACAATATGTTGTGAAGTCAATACCAAGATTGGGGTGAACTTTACAAGGACATAGTGGTTAAATGGTATACCCTAACCATCAATGTTGGTCTTGACCATAGTGATACCAGGTCAACTGTAAGAATGAGATACAGAAGATTCTGAAAGGTTTAGTATAAGATTAAAAATTCCCTATGTGAATGAACTGCCTTAAAGACTTAGTGACCATGACATATTTGCACTGGTATCGACCAGGGCATCTTGGTAGGTGTAGGTAGGTGGGTGAATATGGGAACAGAGTGGTTAAATAAGGAACTTACAAGTAGGTTTCAGGTATGGCAGTTAGTGTAGAACCTTCAGGCGGACTACTTAAATTAAACAATGACTAAAGTTGTACGAGTGGCTAGTTGTACACTCTTTTCATGATTGCCCTCTGTGGTTTTAATGCAACTATTAGCTGAATGTACTATCAATAAAATCCTGGGTCGCAAGTACTCACCTTAATATTTAAAAAAAAAAAAAAACAACCTATTATATAGTCACATGCTTAATTTTGATTGGCCAATCATATAGGGTCGCCATAAAATAACGCCATATTAAGTATTTCTTTATTATGTATTAACGTGATTTTATATAAAACTTTTTAATACTTACAACACAATAGGACAATTTAAATTGAAAAATTAAATTGATATTTACAACATAATAACGACCATTTAAATATTAAGGCTCAAGTGAAAAAAGATATACAACAATTCCAAACTAATTCATCTATTTCGCAAAGAACAAATTCTGATCATAACGCGCATAACTTAAATTGTTTAGAAGATAATCTTGATAATTATTGAAATAATATTTATATAAATTGGTAACTATATTTATATTACTTCCATTAAAATTCTCGTGAAGATAAATTAATGAAGGTTTTAAAACAACCGAATAATTTGGGTATAAAGCTTATTAATATTATAAAAAATAAAAATTTATACCCAATTATTCGGATGTTTTAAAACTTGCATTAATTTATCTTCACGGGAATTTTTGTCGGGAACGTGCATATATTCCCATCGAGCAGTTAATGGAAGTGACATAAATATACTTTCGATTCTCGAACCGGGAGTTTGGAGACCAAATTTAGTCCCACGATCCCATACAAGGTTAAATTCAACATATCTACCTCTACGTATCTGTTGCCATTCTTTTTCATTTGCCGTAAATGTTGTATTCATCCTCCTTTTCACCAATGGAACATATGATTCCAAAAATGAATCCCCACATTGCTTAACAAATTCAAATATCTTTTCTGGAGGTTTGTTATCTAAGTCATCGAAAAATATCCCTCCTACTCCACGGGCTTCTTTACGATGTTTCAAATAAAAGTATTCGTCGCACCATTTCTTGAAATCAGGGTAGTAATTTGGATCGTGTTTATCACATGCTTCTTTTAAAGTTTTATGGAAATGGATGGCATCATCTTCATAAAGATAAGAAGGCGTAAGATCCGAACCACCACCAAACCACCATGATAATGGAGAACCATCTTCCTTTTCAATCTCAAAATATCGATAATTCATGTGTATAGTTGGTGCATGAGGATTATGTGGATGCATAACAATTGAAATGCCTGCCGCGAAAAATGGAAATGGACCCTTTGAAGGATCAAGTTCTTTGTGTCGAGATTTCATTTGTTGTATGGCTAGTGTTGGTAATTCACCAGATACTACCGAAATATTTACGCCAGCTTTTTCAAAAACTTTGCCATCCTGTAGGACACAAGAGATACCATAACCTCCTTGTTCGCGTTCCCAACGATCAATTAAAAACTTTTTACCATCAATGGATTCAATTTCTTTCACAATACGCTCCTGGAGTGATTTGATGTATTGCTCCATTCTTTTACGTAATAGTGTCTCCTTTTTAACATCATTTTCACGTAATCGTGCCACCTTTTTAGCATCATTTTCAAGAGCCTATATTCAAACGAAATTAATCAATGACTAATAACCTGCATCTTATAGGCACGTAATTGAAAATTTATGGAGATTTCTAAATAATTGTAACGTTTTGACATCTTATTTGTTAGGTGAAACCATTCACAAAAATGACGAAAGACAAAAAAAAGGTGAAAGACGAAATCCCTGGTGAAACAGTAAAACTTTTGACAAAGGCGAAACCTTCTTACGAACGAATAAATTGGATAAAGGCGAAGTCATCTAGAATTCACTAAAAGGCAGAAATTTTGCTAGTCGTAACGATACCAATAATAACTATAAAACCATGATTCGAAATCATTCCTGAAGAAATCGTCCATTATGATGACAAATTTGTGACGTTTTTTTTCAGATTTTTGATATCAAAAGAGTTTTTTTTAATTGCAAAATGGAATTTCGGTAAACAATTGCATATTAGATCAAAAGAACCATTGTCTAAATAAGATAAATGAAACGGATTAAATCTGATGCTTTTCTAGCTTCTGCTTTCCTTAGTTCCCTTTAACTAATTTCACCTTTCGTCCCTTTGTCAGTTTTGTCATTTCGCCATTTCACTTTTTTAGTGCGAAAGTCGAAACCGAGTTTCGCCTTTCGTCGATGGTTAAACGTCTAACAATTTTAGAACGTGTTAGTCACAAAGCAATATTAGAAGACTTAGTCAATTACCGCTAAGCTTTTATGGTCATAATATGTGAAATAATAATAGATTCCAACACCACTTGTTAAACTAGTTATAATACCCCAGGAAGCAAATTTCGAATTTTTAGTCCATGAAGAGTTCGAATTTTTTCCAGTAGAATACCTGGTAATATTGAATATATGCTGTGGCAGTTTGTTGGTAAGTCTTAAAAGTAGGCGTGATCTAATCGAAAAAAACATTTTTAATTATTAACGTTGATGTTAAATGATTTCTTTTCGTTATCATCAGTTGACGATAACCTGTCATCAGTAATCATTAGGGAGCATGCCATAATACCCCTTAAGGTTGCCTGATTGGCTAATAAATTCAATTTAATTTTACATTATTTATACAGTTTAGAGTACTTTTATAGAAAAATAAGATCTAACGCTGATTCTTATCCGTTTAAAAAAGTTAGTATAGTTAATAACTTCTCAAAACCCGATAAAGTCAACTTATTACTAAGCTAATTTTTTTTAAACAGACGAGAATTAGATCTTTATTTTTGACTATGAAACCTTCTATATGGTTTTTTTTACTTTATTATAGTTGGTTTAAAAAGTACTCTAAACTGTATAAATAATGTAAAAATAAATTGAATTTATTAGCCTATGAATACGTATTAGGTTCATCCGATCGAAGCCCAGAGGCTCGGGTTATACAAATCTCAAAATTTTTTGGGCATGACTAAATTAATATTTTTAACTAGTATTCGTTCAATAAGTAATATTATAGAAAATAAAAGTTTATCGGTTTTTTTTGCGTTAGTTTCTATAATTTAAATGGACCGATTAGAGACCTAATAGTGTGGAGAAAATTTTGTTGATTTGGTCCCTAGTCGGTCCCATCTAGATTACTCGGAAACTAACGATAAACTTCTATTAGAATGTTATAAAGAAATAACTTTTCTATAATATTACTTGTTGAAGGAATACTAGTTAAAAATAGCAATTTGTTACAAATCTTGTTCAAAGTCGGCTGACAATTACTGCGGGACTGATTAACATCCCTACTGAATGATTTGGTGCCATTTGACTCGGTTCTATGAGACAAATAAGATGATACCAAAATCGGATGATTTCAATCAATCTATCATATAATACGATTAAAAGATTTAGCTTTGCCATAATAACCTTTACTCCTTTAATTAAAAACATTGGTAGATCTGTGGCGACATAAAATATTTTAAAAACAAATTACAACAAAAGAAAATCCTAGCTTTATTACAATAGACTATATCCACCAATAATTTTATTTTTCAGCGCAGATTCTGCCACAGGTGCAACAGCACAACATTGGCTAGATTTATCACGTGAGTGTTGTGCCCGCAGCCTTGGCGCAATAAAAAAGATAGCTAACTGCTAACGCTAAGGATTTCACCTAATAAGTTGTTTGAAACGCCATATAAGATTATATGCAGAAAATTAACTTTTGCATCAGAGTACGTATAACGAAAAAACCTATTAATAAAAAGTTCGCCAAAATTTGAAGTAAAAGACAGCATTTAGAAAAACTTTAATTAGTGAATAAAGTTGTTTTCTTTTAATATGATCAAATTCGTCACTCTGCACACGCTCGTCATAATACCCGCATTTAACTTATATTTATTTACCTTATATTTTAAAGGTTTTTAACATGCGAGAATCCTCATTCAACGCAGTTCAATGCCGTCACACTAACAAAGATGTTAAACAATGCAGCTTGCTTACCATTGGCATTAGAGTTCGTCAATCATTAAAGGTGACGTTTCTAGCACAGAAATTTCTATAAATATTGTCAATGACTCATCTCCGAATTCCGTGGTAAATTTACCAGTGCAACTGTATATCGGAGTTCACTATTTTGTTTGTCATAAATAGTTACATACTATGTGTACTATGTATACATATGCGATAAAAAGATAAGAATTAAGACTAATAAAAAATTATACATAGTGCGTAATGTGTGCATGTTTCTAAAATAGATACGTAATATGAGGATCCAAATATATAATATCAGTACATAAAAGGTTAAAAAAGGCCATAGTGATAGTTAATACAGCAGTAATAGATACTTCGGCTCTGTTCAGTATTGGTCTTTACAATATATATATATATACAAGCCAGGTTAAGTCAACCTAGTAGCTAAGTTAAGATTTACCCACGTTCTCCTTAGCTTATCGAAAATCCAGCTTTAACACGTTTAAATTACACAATGTATGGTGATTGATATAACTTGTGCATCACGTATTTAATATCATCTGTGCCTCAACAAGTTAGAATTCCGGCTTAATTGGTTCATAAAATATAAATCAAAATTCCCTTTGTTTCTTCTTAAGCCTCTCCTTTTGCATTACTTAGATATTCTGACTTCTGCGGATCTGAAAATTGTTAAATTTTTGATTTAAACACGCCGTTGGATCTATTTTGTATTCGTTTTATTTAGTTCTTTTTGTTTCATCTCCAAATTAAGGTAAGTTGTGTTCTTGTACTATTATTTATGTAATATATGACAACGATCATCCTTTTTAACGTCGGCTATTTCATGAATCCGGATTTCCCTTACCTCCTTTCCACTTTTTCTCTTCAAAATTAAATTTTACGAAAAAAATAATCTTTTGCCTGAAATATTTATATTGAACTTCCGTGAAGTTTTTTGCTTTTATTTAAATTATTATATTAAATAAAAAAATACTCGCTTTTGAGTCGTCCTCTATTAACTATCATATTTTTGTAAACGACCTTAACAAAAGGCTATAAGATTATTTTATGATGGCTAAGCTTGCCTTATTAGTCCACGTTTTTTTCGTCGCTCTCTTGTTAGGTAGGTTAATCAAATGTAGCAAAATTTAATATTTTTATATTTCTATTATACTTAAAGGAGTTCTTAATTCCTTGTTTCTCAGTTTTTTCACAAGCTGGTCCAATAAAAGATGAATCAAAAACTACAATCGACATAGCAGAAATACAAACCCCTGGTACGGACCGCTTTGTAGTAGCTGTTAACCGTGTCGATGATCTTGTTGACGATGGAGGTGAAATCCTCGCAGAAAAAATCACTTCTGTTGTTATTAACTTTGAATTAAGGGACGATGCTTTAATGATGAATAATGTCCTAGTTCCAATGAACGTTTCTTCTGTTCAGGTAATATACTACCATTATTTATGGAATTGTATTCATAACCTTGTTTATTTCATTATCTTCTCTATATTTAACTTTCGTTAATGTAATTTTAGGTATTTCAAGCTGAGATCGTTCCAGCAAATATAACACAAGAACAACTTCAAGAATATGAAGACTCATTCGACATTGGAATGGTAACAGTCGATGTTAAAACAGTTGCAAATTCTTTTCCTACTGATGATGTCAACATCTCTCTTCGCCGCATCTTTATTACCATTCGTATAATCGAAATCGATGGTGTAACTGTTACCCAAAGAGATGTTGTTGGAAGGATCCTTGAAGCTAAATATATTAATAATGCAAATGCCGTGGCAGATGGTCAATCTTCTGATGCAATTGCTGATTCATCCACAATGGAAACTCCTTGCAATTTAAGTTCCATATTCGCTCGAATCCGTCATTGGTGGTGTTGTTCATCCAAAATCACTCGTGTAGCCATCATTTCTTTATTCCTTACATCATTATTCGGTATCTTGTTTATGGTTATTCCTGTCTCAATGCAAAGTCTTGTTAAGAAGAATCTTGGTGTTATGAGACAACCTTATCAAGCTGTCTCAGATCATCACGACGATGATGATGACGCAAAAGTTGAACAAGTTATTTTCATTGCTGACGAGGAAAAACGAATGTTAATGGAAAAACATGAAAGAGAGGAGGGTCAATAGAGATACCACAGCTTTTTTTTTTTTTAGCTTTGTACCATTTCTAAAATGCGCTTTCTTCTTTTGTTTTGTATACACAATTTAGGCTTGCAAATATGTGTTTTGTATTTATTATTGTTATATTTTAATGGTCTATAATTAATTGCTCTTGTTTTGAACAAATTAGACCAGGAAAAAAAAAACAAAAAAAAAAAAATCCGTGTATTGAACGTATGTATGTATGTATATACGTATGTATATATGTACATACTTAAATTGTGTTATTACCCAAACATACACGACAATAATATATTTCTTAGAGTCAACACACGAGAATTTGTATCACAATTTTTAATGTATCATTTATTATTAAAATTTGAGAAAGTGTATTGCTTAAAATTGGATGCATGCAACGACCGCGTTAGTATTTAGTGCTACCTAACAAGTCTTAACTCGTTCTTTACGAAAGGGGCAAAGCCATAGACATTGTAATTTTACGAAAACATCCTATCTCATGTTTCAAAGCACCAAACATTTGAATCCTGTTATAAACTTCTTTTGTACTTGATCTATACATGACAAACGTTCTTTGAATTCAGCATTATGTATCAGTCTAAATTAAGCTTTGTTAAGAATTATTCTACAAAACGATATCGGTTGTTTATTGTTGTTATTGCTTTACGCAATAATAATTTATCAAACTTCGGTCATAATAAAATTTTATTATTTAAATAAAATATTTATAATCTAAACTTGGGCGACAATCACATTCACTTTATTGAATGCCTAGAATGCCTAATATATATTTAAAAAAAAAAATGTTGCGCAGCTTAAATAAATAATATGTTCACCAGATTCATATTTGTTATATATATATATATATTTACTATATGTCAATGACTACATCACAGTAATTTTCTATATCAATTCTGAAACATCATAATGAATTCAATAATTTCATTTTGTAGATCCACCTAATCCTAACCCAACTAGTATTATCCATAATAAAGATCCTGCTGACAAAGGCATCACAAGATTATCATCTAATCCTCCCACATCTATTAATTCACTAACACCACTAATAATGCCTGTTACCAAACATAACGCAGGTAATGATAATACACTTTTATCCGGTATCCAATTCTCAACTTCAATTTTATGATATTGTAATCCTCCTCCCCAAAAGAATAATGCGGCTATTGATCCAACTGTAATGGCTCCCAATGTACCTGCCAAAGATTTACCATTACTAAATCTATATGTGTAATGTCCATATTTTCTACCGATAAAAGATGCGGCTGTGTCACACCATGATAGTATGAGTATTGATATTGCTGCGATGTCCTAATAATTTCCACAAAAACAAAAAAAAAATGGTTATAACTTGTAAGTATCATGTAAATACACATTCCATAAAAAAAAATTATCCATAATCACCCTAACGAAATGATTATGTAATAACCAAATAACACATGTTTTCTCAAGATCTCTCACGAGTGTTTATACGTATAAATACCTTCGGAAATATTGATAACGCGCCAATACACCCAGCAAGGTAAAATACTACTCCGTTTATTTTACCATACTTTTCTGATTCTCGCATCAAAAATCCCAGTACTTTGATGTAAAGGTTATTAAATTGGATACTATTAAACCGTAGTGCATCTGCAATTGATACTATTATAAATGCGATGAGTAGTACGTTACGAGTCGGGATGGACTCCGCGGATGGGTAGATATATAATGTAAGAAATCCTGATAGATTAAAAAAAAAAAACCAATGAATAAAATATAGTTTATTAGATTTTATCAATAAATCACATACAAAAGAAAAAAAAAAATCAATCTCTTGTTACTGATAAAAAAATAATAAAATCAAATAACTTAGAACTGCATAAACTTGTACTATTTGGAAGTCTAATCTTGAGTATACACCTTATTACAGTACACCCAAAACCATTTCTCTTACCTTGCAGTTCTAAGTTTAATAAGTCATAAAAGACGCGCTTTCCACACAACTTTGTTGAAGCAGTTAAAAATAACAAACAACTGATGCCTACCTATAGAAGTGTGTAAAAGTTTTCTTGGGATTTCCCAATTCTTTTTCGTTCGTTGCATATCGTTGCCCTCGTCACCATTCACTAACCGATTTTCTTGCTTTTTTCTTTTTTTCAACCCTTTTAGTTTATGTTTAAGGTGATAACCACCCTTTGACGTAATATTACGATTTATAGCCATGGTATATGGTGAACTTTATGAATTCGTTAACACACGAATGTTTAAAGTTTCATTTATAAACTTTTGTGCTTAATGAATTTCTATTGGTCCAAGATGTAACAACCATGCGAATTTGTTAGCACTAGTGATGTAGCTTTTACGTAAACAAAATATTCGCTCTCTGATTGGCTATTGATAAAAATACGATTTATAGGTTGTACGGTTTGGTCTATTTGGAAATGGCAAAAAACATCTTTACCATCTTAATGACATTTCGATGTTTAACTTTATTTAACTTATATTAAACATAAGGTAGATTATTGACATTTTTGACTACGTATGTATTACGTAGAATCTTTCGTCCTCGCTAAATTGAAAAACGTTACACGATTGATACTTTTTTTTAGAAGAAATCATTATTTATTTCTACTTTGAAGCTTTTACACTATACACATCACTCTGATTATATCAATATCTTCTATAACGAACCTATATACTTAATATGAAAAATGCTTCTGGTTAAATCGATATCTGGATATACCGAACAATTTCTTTAGAGAATGTCGATATAACCAGAGTGACGTGAATTTAAAAATACTATGTATATATATTAAATTTTATAACTTTAAGAGAATTTCTATTTGTACCCGGTGGGTATGTACTTGGTTTATGAAAAAAAAGACCAAAAAATCTAAACTGGTATAAGTAAAAATGTTTAAGCATCTAATTTTACATATAAATCTATCTTTAAATTCTAATCTAGTGATCTGAACTGAGTTAAAAATCGTTACCCGATTATAACCAGGGATGTACATTTTTGATGTCTAAGACATTTTTTGCCATGTTCAACGTTTAACGTCCAAATGTTCAAAGCTCATCTAAAGCTTTAATAATTAAATAATTTATTTAAAAATAATATGATTATATATATTTTTTGGTTTTAAACATTTTTACTTAGAAAGTTAAAGTAGATTATCTTATTAAAATTTTGAGTAATTTTAATATTTAATAATTTTAATATTTAATAATGTTTAAGATGTTCAAACTTTGCCCAAAGACTGTCCCGTGACAACACTAATTATAACCATATCAAAATTTGATAGTTAAATTAACTTCAACGTTGAATTAATTTCAACAATTGAATTAAATTTAACGGTTGAATTAATTTTAATAGTTAAATTAATTTTAACTGTAAAAAATAATTATGGTTTCAACAAATGAATTTAATTTTAATTGTTAAAATATCAAATTTAATATTTAATTTCTCTTTTATCTATATGTATATTTAATTTTCACAATTGCAAAGAATGTTATAGCTTATTTTGTACATTGAGTCTGATTATTATAAATTTAGTTCTCTATGTAAATATATTTTCTTACTTATTTATTTACATTATTCTTGTTTATTAAAAAGTAAAAGATATTATAATCTTAAAAATAATAGTTATATTAATATAATTCACAAAAGAATTTATTAAAAAAGGATGTTTGTAAGAAATAATAAATCATTCAAAATTGGTAATTCTTAAAAATGTATACAAAATTTGAATTGTAAAAATTTTTTTAATTTAGAATATGTATTTCTTAAAAATATTGAATGATTTTAAAAAAATTTATTAAAATGTTGTTAGTATTGAAATATACAATATTATAGTTAAAAAGTTTGTATTTTTTTAATTTTTGTAATATTGCCAGTTGGTTTATTAGGTTCTAAATTTGATATAATACAATTTACAATTACATTTACAAGATTAATTATTACTAGTATAGGCTGTCTTATTAATTTTTATACAAAAATAACATATAATTAGTTTAAAACAATATCTTATTTTTTAAAAAAAAACTATTTTATTTAAATAAATAATAATAAATTTTTATACTATTTGTTATTAAAATCAGAAAACTAATAGTCAATATAAACATTTAATAAGTACTAACTAATAAAAAGTAACTAATTTAGCAATTATAAAACTATTAATATAAAATTTAATTTACTTATCATAATATAAAATAAATTAAAAAAACTTATTTGAAGTATGATAACTTAGTAAAATAAATAAGTTGTTAACCTACTAAGTAATAGGTTGTAAGTTTAAAACCTATTAATAACAAGCATTCTGTTGATTAGTTAAAATAATATATTTGTAAGTATGCTTATATTAGCATGAATAGCACATTATAAAATATTTGTGTAATCTTGGTTATACAAAAGGATCAAACAAATACTGGATAATGCAAATTCAAGATAAGTTCTTGTAATTATATAAATTTATAAAAATAAAAAAAACTAAAATCTACTTGAAAAAAACTTAAGTAAAAAAGTAATACAAATTTTTAATAATATTACTATAAAGATTAAACTAAAAAAATAAATACCAATACAGAAAAATTAAATAGGCAAGAACCTTTAAATAAGAGGTTACTAATTAGACTGCTAGATCAAATTAAAAAAAAAGATATTAGACTAAATTTAATATATTAAAGACAGTTTATAGTTCTTTTAAGCTATCTAAATTAAGATATACTAAAGTACTAAAAATATACTATAAAGTAAATACTAGGATATAAGAGAATTTTACAAAAATAAGTTCTTATGAATAGTTTGTAGATTAGATAAGTAGTTAACAAGAAAGGTTTTCTAAGTCTTACTAACAAGTGTTATATTCTAAAATATATAATGATCTAAAAATTAATTTAAAAAGAAAAGATATTGTACTATTTAGATAGTATATTATATAGTTAAGTATATATGAGAGATATAGTAGTATTTAAATAATTAACAAAACATATAATTAGAGGATTTAAATAGATAATCTTCTAGTAGATTATAGGTACAATATCTAATATAGAACTTTAGAATAGATTACTTAAATAAGTAATCAAAAGTTGTATATATAACTAGTTATACTTTTTATTATTATAAAAATAGTTGTAATATTAATTCTAATATGTTAATAAATTAATTATTATACTTATAGAAGCAGTTGTCATCCTATTAAAAGAAACATCCATAGTAGTTGATAAGAAAAATAATGTAAGTAGGCAGACAGTAAAGCCTATTTATGTGGAAGGCCAAGATAATAATAGACAGATCCAACACATAGGGTAGACTATGATACCTTGCACAGCTATAAGAGCCAAGCATATGGTGATTGACTCTGTAGAAGACAACTTCACAAGATCATTTCTAACATTTTTAACCTCATATAATTTTAATATATATTATAACAAATTTCTTTTCTATTACAATATTCCTCTATTTTCTTGTAACCAAACTATTCAAACTCTTATACAACATATTAACAAGCATAACTCCAACAAAACTGTTACTAGTATAACATTCTTTGTTAATAATAATTATAGTGAAACTCATATATATCTTCCTAATGACTTACTTTTACCCAACCACATTATTATTTCCTTTAATTTCTTTCTAAATTCTACAACCTCTTTCTCAAATCACATTCTTCTGATTCTACTCCTATCTTATTAGATACACTTACATCTTAAAATTGCTATACATAATATTAGAGATTTTAATACTATAACCAAAAGAGAAGCATAGCAAAACTATTGTCTTTACAATAATATTGATATTGTTTGCATTATTGAAACCAAGATAGCTAACAACAATAACCTTCATTGTTATAACAACAATTTATTTACTTACTTTTGGGCTAATTTAAATAACTCAGCTGAAGGTGCTATTATCATGATTCGTAAACATTTACAACTATATATACATAACTGCTAAACACATCCTGGTGGAGTAGTTGCTTTGGATCTTTTCTTCAAAAGCAAAACCAAACTACATATTATAGCTGTTTATCTTTCTTCAACTAATATGTACAAACATAATAAAATACAAAATACAATTATTATATAGATTCAACAAGCTCAACAACTTAACCTTCATTCTATTCTACTTAGTGACTTTAATATACATGATAATATTAATAGTTTATCATCTAAATTCTGACTTATTAATTATTTATATAACTCCAACATGTTTGATCTTGGTGTATATATAGATAATAAACATTATACATAATCAAATAATACTAGTGTTATAGGTGAAAGCCTTCTTAATTTTCACACTATAACGACGACACGGCACAGAGAATCCCTTACGGGTATATGCGGTGTCCAAGAGGGAAGTATAGCTTCTGTTAGATGTTGTCAAGAAACTATACCCTTCTCTGAGGCAGT